GAACTGTGTTAGGGCTATAGGGGCCCAAGCTCACCCGCCATGGGGTTCAGGCTGTCCCTACTGGCTGTCCCTAGTTTGGCCACTAGACCTGGATGATAGGGGAAGCCATCCATCCTAGGGCAGTGGTGGCAAACCTATGGCACTTGCATTATTGTGTTTTTCTTTGAAGACAAAAGATGTTAATGCATGAGTTGTCTTTCTAAACTAAAACCTCAGTATTCAGGTTTAATTAGAGTGTTGGCACTTTGCAATAAATAAGTTTTGGGTTGCAGTTTGGCACTTGGTCTGTAAAAGATTTTCTGGCACTGTCCCAGGACAAGCTTTATGGTCCCTGGGCTCTGATTGTCCTGATAAATAGTAGGCACTCATATATGCAAGAGATAACCTTGAGATGGGGCAGTACTTACCATCTGCCCATGAACAGTGACCTGTAGTAACTCTAATCAAGGGGACAGGGTAGGTACAGGAAGGCAGGAGTGGGGATCTAAGAGAAAATGTTTATTGCCCATTGGCCTCTGTCCATGAATGTGCACATACATAACCTTCAGCTGCAGGAGGCCTGGGAGTAGGAGTTTGAGCTCCATGTACCAGTGAGATTGCAGCCTAGAAAGGCCCAGGCTGCAGTCCGTGGAAGACAAGAACAGAATGTGGAGGGACATTCATCAGCTGTGTGTAGGAGTGGCCAAGGGAATCACTGAGGTAGACTCATTTCTGGGTCTCCAGTCCTAGGCTGGCCAACCTCTTCTTGAAATGCCAACTTTTACTTCAGAGTTGTGCCAGGAAGCTGCTAAACTTATGGTGTTCAGGGTGCCATGGGCAAGATCTAACTGCTCTGACCCCAGAAGTTAGCAGTTAGAACCGTGCCCTGCAAGTGGCCATGGACTTTGTAGTTCACCAGGGGATTGCATGCTGGGAGCTGTGTACCTATAGCAAGAGGAATTCTGGGAAATATAGTCCCGGGTACTCAGAGCCTTCTGGGAGATGTAGTCACCTAAGCACACAGAGCTGGTTTCTTAACTGTAGCAGTTGAGTTTATCTTCAGATAGCATCACAGCATGGAACTCAGCAAGGGAAACCTCAGCTAACTGGGAAAGGGATTGTCCTTGAGCTGAGCCTGAGAACTCGGCTTCTCTGCTTCCTGCCTTGGTGCCAGCAGCACTAGTATGTACAGGGTCCCCAGCAGTCAGAGATCCTGGTTATGGCTGAGCTCACTATGCTCTTTTTTCTTTACCCTTCCATCTTGTGACATAGGAACCTACCTGATGTGTCTGCTAAGGACTTTGAGAAGGTTGATCTGACACGGTTCAAGTGGATTCACATTGAGGCAAGCCCTGTTCTGTTTCTAGACAGGACATGTTTTCCCTCCTTCTGGGTTTCTCTAAACCATGAAGTACCTTAGAGATAAATGAATCCAACCCCTCAACTTTCCCTCTCCATCCTTCATGCTTTTAAGCTTAACCTGTGTTACCTCAGTTACCTCTGAGGAGAAGGGAGTGCGCAGGCCTGGCCCAACTTCCAAATAAAGGGAAACAGAACTTGCACTGTGAGGGAAAAGTTTTGGGGTTGGAGTCAGAAGAAACCTTGAGATGTCCTGAATGTGACCACATCCCTGCGTGACTGCCTGTAGGTCCTTCAGAGAGCCTTTCTCCTTATTTAATCTCTGCATGTGCGAAATGGGAGAGCTGGTTGATCAGGTCTTCCAGGTCCATGATAGCCAAGAATTTGGTGATTTGGGATAGGTCCCAGCCCAGCCTCCCAGGTCCTCTCCTCTCTCACCGAGTTCCAGCAGCGAGGGAGGAGTAAGCTGGACAGCTGGACACTGAGCTGCCCCGCCCCACCCTGCCGCAGGGCCGCAACGCATCAGAGCAGGTGAAGATGCTGAAGCGCATCGAGGAGCACAATGCCAAGCTGCCTCCGGAGCTTCAGATCCGGGTGTCTGTGGAGATAGAGAAACCCCGGGAGGAGCTGTTCCAGCTGTTCAGCTACGGAGAGGTGGTGAGTGCCCTGGCAAACTTAGCTTGCCACATCCAGCTGACTCGGCTGTTAAAGGCAGTCAGAGAGCCCTCTGGGATTTCCTGCCAGGCTCCAAACGGCAGCTCTCGAGTGATAGGGGTGAGGTGGCAGAGCTCCCGCTTTGGGCTCTGCAGTGGCCAAAAAGGGGAATTTTCTGTCCAGAAATAAGGATGTCCAAAAGGGTCTGGAAAGGACCAGGGAGCCACAGGGCATGGCTCTCAGCGCCGTCTTTCTCTGTAAAATGAGGGCATTGCATGTTCTCTGAGGTTGCGAGTCTCTTCCAACTCTGGGGGTGGGGTGGGGAGTGGAGTGGCAGCGTGGGAGCCACTGGCAGTGAGGAGCCTTGCGCGTGGTAGCTGTGGACGGGACTGGGTGGACGTGGAGTTTAGGTGACAGTCCCAGGATCATAGCCACCGCTAGCTGGACACTGTCCAGCCACTGAACCTCAGCCTCGTTGAACAATACTAAAAAACAAAACCAAAGGAGGCCTGAGCCCCACCCGCTTGGCTTAATTTGTTTCATTACTGGGTGGGGAGGGTGAGCCCAGGGTCAAACACAGGGGCGCAAGTGCTGTACCACCAGGCTGCCTATTATTATTATTTAATTGACAGGGGTAGAGCCAGGGCTTCTCTGTTCTCTACCAAAACAATCTGGAGATTGAGGTGTAACTAGTGTTCCATTCCCTATTGATTTGTTCTCCAGGTGCAGAAACTACCCCTAGAGGGCATAGTTGTGTTGGAAAAACAAAAACTTGCTCCTGAGCCACTGCATTTTGACAGGGCAGAGTAGATTTCTCCCCTAGATGGCGCTCCAGGCTCTCTCTGGGTCTTCACCCACTAACCCTAGGACAACTAGTCTAGGACACTGATGCCAAATTTTTAGACACCGAATACCCAAACTGCAATCCAAAACCTACTTATTGCAAAGTGCCAACACTGCAGTTAAACACGAATGCTGAGCTTTTCATTTAGAAAAAACAGCTGTCACGCGATGCCAGGCTGCAGGGGTGACTTGGCTTGTGTGCCCTGACAGTGGGCTCCGTGTGCCTGCTGCAGCGTGCGTGCCATAAGCTCAACACCACTGGTCTGGGGCTTTGGTGTCACAACCCACAAGGTGATATTCTAGCTTTTTTTAGGCGAGCATAAAACCGTGTTTCTGTGGGACCGCAGAATGCCAAATTGTAGTCATGTTGGAGGAGTCACATTATAACATAGGTGACACTGGGCTGCTGGTGGTGAGTGACTAGGGTCACAGGTGGCCACCAGCCTCTCTTCCACTGCCCACAGGTATTTGTCAGCAAAGACTTGGCCAGACACTTGGGCTTCCAATCAGCGGCGGAAGCCCTGAGGGGCCTGTATGGTCGAGTCAGGAAAGGGTGAGTGGGGAAGCCAGGAAGAGGCCCTAGGGAGGTTGCAGGGGTGGACCCCAGGTTATGCCATAATGGGTCTCGGGGATGAGGTGGGCTGACACCCAGCTGAGTGGAGGTCTTGCAGGGCGACACTTATCTGTGCCTGGGCTGAGGAGGGTGCCGATGCCCTAGGCCCCGATGGCCAGCTGCTCCATTCGGATGCCTTCCCACCACCCCGGGTAGTGGACACTCTGGGCGCCGGAGACACCTTCAACGCTGCTGTCATCTTCAGCCTCTCCCGGGGTGAGTGCCCCAGCAGGAGGGGGCAGGGCTGGGCACTGCTCCTGTGCAGAACCCCAGAGTGATGCCGCCACTTGGTGCTCCTTTAGGAAACAGCATGCAGGAAGCACTGAGGTTTGGGTGCCAGGTGGCTGGCAAGAAGTGCGGCTTGCAGGGCTTCGATGGCATCGTGTGACAGGCGCATGGCAGGAGGCACCGTGCTCACCATCCTTGCTGGAGGCTGGCATTGTAGGCCACTGCTGCCTTCCCCTCCACCCAGGTGGGCATCCAGGCTGCCCGGCTCCCTGGGCAGATGCAGGCTACGGGAAGGACTCGCAAGTGTCGTCGGTCTTTTGTCTGTACCTTTACTGCCATGTCTGCAGAGCCTCAGAACTAATAAATCTCCTCCCTCTGAACCAGCTTCCACTGGCCATCTCTTGGTGCAACTTGGTGTCTGCCCTGCTCTGGTTGGAGATTCCTGAGGCTTTGCCCTCTGTCCTGTTCTCCATTTTCAAATTAATCTCTCTACCCAGGCCCAGAGCAGGTGTTATCTCTGCCTGACCATAGCAAGCAGCCTTTCCACCAGCTGTCCTGAAAGCAGGAGGCTTTGCACAGTTCACCTAGTGGCCGCAGAAGCTGGGGTCCACATGGCTGAGCAAACGTCAGGTTGGTGGGCAGGGAGCCTACTGCAGTGCTTCTGCTGGGAAGTCAAAAACTCTCCTCTACCACCTTGCAATTAAGGCAAGATGAACTCAATACCCCATCATGCAGTTAAGGCGATGCCTCAGCCACAAATGGGACCCAGTCACAGGACTTTGCTGTCCTTTGGGGAGGTCATATCCCAGCAGACTATCAGAAAAGGGATCGGATTCCAGCGGTTCCCGTTAGTATTACTGGAGCTGGGCGTGGTGTTATATCCCTGTAATCCCAGCACTCTGGGAAGCTAATGCAAGAAGATACCAAGTTCAAGCCCAGCTAGGGCAACTTGGCAATTTAGTGGATCTTGTCACAAAAAAGGGGTCCAGAAAATGTCAGTCATTATGAAGACCTTAGGTTCAAACCCAGTAAGTCCAAAAGTAGGGAACGGATACAAAGACATCTGTTCTGAGCTTCAGGAGGGCATAACGTGGCTCAGTACCAGGTGCAGGGAGAACAGGAGGGGTTTTGGCCCCCAAGAATAACTTTCTTCATGGATGTCTATATCCACATACCTAGTGCCATAGGCTCTGCACTGTCCCAACACCCCTGGGCCCAGGAACACTGGGAAAGCTAAATCTCTAAAGGACCCGTCTAGTCCCTAGACCGCTGTGGCTCTGAAGGCTTCTGGACAGGCTGGACAGTAGACACATGGTCCAGCAGATGAATTCACTTTGTCCTTTATTAGTTGTTTGGGCCCCAAAGCTGCCCTTTAATATAGCATCTCCCTGAGCTGCACAGGCAGACCGGGCACCTACTGGCGTCAGAAAGGTGACACAGAGGGGGCCTTCACCCCAGCATGCACACCACACCCTTCAGGCTTACATCCGGCACCAAGACTTTGAGGGGTGCAAGCCTGTTCCTCAAGGTTCATATCTCATCGTTCTCCAGCTGAATAGCGTGAGGCTCAAGCTCACCTGGGGTATTTCTGGACTCCAGTGTTTCCCTTAGAAGCTCTCTGGCTCCTGCCTCATTATCGCTGGCCTCTGCCTGCACCCCAATATCACCTCTGGAACCTGGGGCTTCTTCAGCAACTCCCTGTCCCCCATTCCCCACTTTGGGACTTAGAGTGTCTTCTTCAGCCCCTTCTTGAACCCCAGTCTCCTGAACAGGCTCCAGGGAGTCCCTCCTGGCCTCTTCCTGGGCCCCAGCTTCTTCTCTGGGCCCCAGAGCCTGCTGAGTTTCTTGTCTCATGGGGTTCTTTGCTAACTGGCCCTGCCCCTCCTCAGTCTGTGTCTCCTGGGGAGCTGGAGCGAAGGGTTCCGTGAGCTCTGTGTCCCTGAGAGTGTCTGCTGGAAAGCTGATGAGCTCTGCAGGGGAGATAAGCCCATCTCTGTCCAGGTCCTGGGACTCCAGCACCTTGTCCACAACCAGGATCACCTGTGGGAGCACAGAGTCACCATGAGGTCTCCAGCGACCAGAGATGTCCTCTGGAGCATCCCTGCTCAATGCCCCCTCCCCTGTTACGTAGGCCCTCAGCCCTGCCTTTTACAGGAGATTCATCCATAGTCATGATGAGAAAGACCAAAAACCAAGGAGCTGGACCCCCTGCAGAGCTTACCGGGTTTGCGGGAAAGTTGGCAGCTCCGGGGGCCAGAGCCTCTGTCAACATGGACAACAGCTCCAGCCCATCCAGCTGGCCGCTTTGGTCATAGTCATGGAGGGCAAAGAGGTAGAGGAGAACTGGAGAGAGAAGCTGGGTTAGAAGAGGTGTTCAGAGCAGGCAGAGAAGGCAGAGTCAGCGGGCAGCCAGCTCTCAGGCTCTGCTCTGGCTGCCCCGAGTGTCCTAGGCCTGGTCCACCAGCCCAGCCCCTTACCCCGTTCCCGGTTCATGTGCTCCGGATCCTCTTCCATCCTCTCTAGTCCCTTTAGGTAGTGTTGCAGCAGTCTGTTGGAGAAGGGGCAAATCAGCCTGGGTGGTGCCAGTCTGAGGCCCCAAGCCTGGCTTGCACTCTCAAGGCCCCAGTCAGCTACTCACCGGAGCTGCTCTGACCCTGGCTGGAAGGGGTTGGTCAGGGGTTGGGGTTGCACATCAAGGTCCTGCCTGGAGGAGGAGGAAAGGACTGGCCTTGCAGAGAGCCTGCCTGAGGCCCAGCCTGCCAGCCTCCACCCCAGCCTCCTGGCTCAGTTTCTTCCCGGGCCCAGAGGAGGCGCTCCCTCAGATTCCCAAAAGTCTTGTGAGGAAGAGGCTCTTCTGGTCTTACTTCCTCAGATCCTTTCTGAAATGCCTTATTTAAACTTTAAGTGAAACCCAAAGAATATCAGGTGGGGCTGAGGCCATGTGAAGCCACACCTGCTATGCACACAGTGGAGGCCCAAGAAGCTCGATGAGTGGCAGAGAATGTGGGTTGTGATGGCCAAGAGCCAAGGGTGGATCCTGGAGGAGCCTGGTGGCCCTGTCAGGTTTACACAGACCCAGCTCGCTCCATGATATCGATGCCTCTTTTTTTCAAGCAGAGGGCACACGTGTCAGATTGGGGGGGTTCGGTTTTCTCAGGCTCTCTTAACCAGTCTCCAAAGCTCAAAATGGGCTTCTGCTTCTGGATGGGGCCACATATCAGGCCAGGTTTGTTGTAGCCACTTTGGTCACTGCTGCCAATCCTGGTGGCTCTTCCTGCATCTGTCTCCTCTCCTACCAAGCACATCTCTGCCCAACACCAGTAAGACCTCCAGAGGGCAACGCTAATAAAATGACCTTCACTCCCCTGGTACTTGATTACAGGACTGCACCCCTTCCCTGGCCTCTAGCTTCTTCCTGACAGGCACAAAGCAGGAGGTTGGGGTGGGTACATAGAGATCGCCCAAGTTTCGTGGCCCCCTAAGGGGTCTGCCATACCCTTGGGTTCTCCAGAGACTCATCCCACCCCAGCTCATGGTCCTGTCCTCCTGGTCCCTTACCTGGTGGCTCCATCCTTGGGAGCAGCATGGGCCAGGGCGGGCAGCAGCAGTGGCAGCATTAGCACTCTCATCATCTGAGGTAACATCCTCCCTGGGGCAGGAACGAGGAGCAGAATTAGGAGGTCGGAAAGGAGTGGCTGCTACAGTTCCAGGGATCAGTTGGGTCAGAAACAAATGCCTTCTCTCCCTGTCTTTGCCTGCCCTCTCCTCAGGGAGGACTCCTGCATGGCAGACAGTGAGCTATGGCACTGTTATAGCTTGTGTCTAGATATCACCCCAAAGCCTCATGTGCTCATGGGTGGAGCTTTTTGGAGCTGGCTGAATCTAGGGTGTAGGAACATGGATTAAGGGGTGATAAACTGAACTGGTTTAGCATAGTTCTGGGTGTGAATAATGGGAAGCCACATGTTGGATATGGGTGGTACCAACCAATAGGCCTGTAGCCTGGATGGGACATGAGGGACTCATGGAAGGCAGGCTGCTGCTGCTTGCTGCCTCCTGCCATGGACTGTTTCTCCTCTGCCACGCCACCCTGCCTTGGAGCCAGCTGATCATGGACTGAAACCTTTACAAACTTGAGCTATAATAAACCTTTCCTCTTTTAGCTTGTGGTTGTTGAGTATTTTGTTCTGGCAATGAAAAGTAACTAAGACAGGAATTTTGCTCAAAATATATCCTACTCCAGCTCCGGTATATAAAGTGCATAAAAGCTGAGCTACCCTAGTGGAAGCAGTACTGGGGTCAGGGCTCACCCTCCCTGCAGCCCAGGCCTGTTGTCCCTGCAAGGCCCTGAGATGCTGAGAAATGCAACTGTAGTATCCTGCCTACCTCAGGCCACTCATTCCACAGATAGAAGAAAAGCTTAGCCAACCTAGGGAAACAGCCAGATTACAAATATGGGGACCAAGAGCAAGACTTACACAGGCAAAACGGGTGACAGATTGTTAGCCTGCACTTACTAAAATCCCATGGGAGAACAAATCCCAAGGGGCTCAAACTCCTTGAAAAAGTACACAGTCGGGTCCATACTCTGAGTCCGTACTCAGACTCAACAGCATACTAGGGTCAAACCCACAGTGGCTCTCAGAGTTGCGGCTTACTTAGCACAGTGAGGAAAACCAGATCTTACTATAAAGTAAGAAAAAATAAAAACTTCCCCTTAGATCTACATTGCAGAGGAACACAGCAAAAACAGTATCATAATTGATTCTATGAACTCAAACACAAAAGGGATCCATTGAAAACACAGAAAACAAAGCTTTCTGCTTGGTCCCAGGTATATAGACAAATAACGAGCTTCCAAGGGGGCAGGGGCTTACCAAAGCTGAGGCCTCAGACCACACGCCCATCTCTGGGAATAAAAATCACCAGCTGTTCAATGGACTGAGCGGAGGATAAGGAGCTCTCTGACATGGGGCCCCTATAGGATGTCTGGAATGGATTTTATTAGAGGAAGTTTTATAGCTTTCAGCAGCTCCTCCCAAAATTCCATGACCCAAGAGATGCAGAGCTCCTACCAGCAGGGACATCAGTCTCCTAAGAGGTGAGGGTTGGTGCAGCTAAGCATCTGGATCTAGAGATAAACAAAACTTCTGCCATCTTGAGCTGCCTGGAGCAAGACACAGCACAACAAAAAGGTGAGCCCACAGAACCTGAATCATTTCTCCACGCATGTGATTGGCCCCTAGAGCCACAGTGAATACACATAGTTTTTCAGTGTCTCTAAGCTCCAGTGGCCAAAAGGCTGTCAAACCTCGGCTGCTCTAAGTGTGGCCGGCAGCATCAGCTGGCACAGCAGGCCCTTGGGTTTGAGTTATTGTTCCCAGGAAAGGAGACAAAGTCTTGGGATTCTGCAAGGCATGAGGTCCCCACATCAACACGGAACCCTCAGAGGGACACGACCGGTGACAGGATGGGTGAGCCGACCATCCAGACATCCTGTCTCAGATTACAATAATAAGTGACCTGAAGAAAGTAACTACGATGCTGGATAAAAATAGAAAATATCCTCTTGAATGCACTGAGTTGGCAAGAAAGTCACAGCGTTCAGAAAAGCACAGTGGAAATTGTAACGCGGGTGAAAGGTGAGCTTGACATCAGCCTCACGTGTGTCGCCAAACCCGGCGTGTGAACTTGAGCTGCCTGCATGACAGCAGCGTGCAGCAGAGACCAGAGACAAACCTGGGCCCACCCACTCCGGAAAGAGTCAAGAGGTTCCCTGGAGCAAGCTGCCATGCCAAATAGCCGTGCACGTACAAGGGTGAGCCAAAGACGGCCAGGGCGAAGGGCAGCCGAGACGCTCGTCCTCCTGGGGTGGGTGCTAAGCAAAAGGAGAAAACCAGTCTCCTCTGAGAATGTGTACACAGCCTGCTCCAATGTGGTGTGAAGCCTGGATTACGGTTCCCCATGGTCCGGAAAACCCAGGTAGATAATTTATTTTGAAGTGTAACTAGTTGATAGTGGCCATAGAAGACAACATACATTTTCTGTGGAGGAGCTCAACTCCACCTGAGGCCTCAAAAATTTTCCATTGGTAAAGTTTTAAGAAATGTGAACTCTTTGGATCAATGAACAGAACTGTTTGCAGTATCATTGATGGAATGTCCACTTTACAAGCTTTAATTTTGTGACTTGAACAATTATTTCTAAGATGACAATATGTAATCCATTAACTAGTGATTTCTTACTGTTCATTTTTTTTCTGTAAATCTGTATAACTTGTACCCTTTCCCTGCTTTTTTTTCTTTTCTCCTTAAATAAAATTAAGAAAAAAAAAAAAGAGAGAGAGAGAGATGCAAAGAATGAAGACAAGACCAAAAAAAAAAAAAAAAAAAAAAAAAAAAAAAAAAAAAAAAAAAGAAAAAGAAAAAGAAATGTGAACTCTGGGCCAGGGATTTAGCTCAGTGGCCTAACTGCCTGCCTTGCAAGCGCGAGGTTGTGAGTTCGATCCTCGGTACTAAAAAGAAATGTGAACTCTCAGTTAAAAAGTCATAAATACACAAGGAAATGCGACATTGACTATGAGCCAGTGAAACAACAGAGTAAGTATTATACTGGAATTCTTAGGGTAGGGGGTTTAGCTCAGTGGCATAAGCACCTGCCTGGCAAGCATGAGGTCGAGAGTTCAATCCCCGGTACAAAAAAAGGGATCTATAGTGGAATTCCTGTAAGAATATTTCCTGTTGTAAGGAATTAAAAGGATGATTAAAATGATGAGAAAGAAATGAGAGCATCAAGATGACCAACTAAAGTTGTACAAAATGTAATCTCTAGTCATAAAAGTTGATCTTGAAAAATGCAACAGGCAAATGAAACAGATTAGACACAGCTGATACGAGAATGAATGAGCTAGAATAGAGACCCAAATAAATTACCCAGAATGTAGTTCACTGAGTTAAAAATAAAAGAAATATAAATAAAGGTTAAACGGCACGGGGGCAATAACAGATACAATTGGACGGAGGCAGTATTTGAAGAAATAATACTGAGGTTTTCCGAGTAGGTTGAAAATCACTGCTGTGTCAATCAGGAAGTTCAACAATGCCACCCAGACTAAACAAACAGAAAAACACAGCCAGGCCTACTGCAGTGAATCACAAACCAGAGAGAAGAACACTGTAAAAACAATCAGACAGAAAAGACAAATCTGGAAAAGTAATTAAAGTGGGCTGGGGGTTTAGCTCAGCGGCATAAGCGCCAGCCTTGCAAGCAGGCAGTCGTGAGTTCGATCCCCGGTACCGATAAAAAGGAAAAAGACAAAAAAAAAAAAAAAAAAAAAAAGAAAAAAGAAAAAAAAGAAAAGTAATTAAAGTGACAGCTGATTTCTCCACAGTAAGCGTTACCCAGTGCAGAGATATGGGATGTGCATGCGTTCAGAGGCAGAAGAAACTGCTGGTCCCGGACTCTGCTCTCTGTGAAATGCTCTTTCAAGGCTGAGGAGGGAGAGCTGAGTGGTAGAGGGGGTGCCTGGTACACCTGAGGCCCTGAGTTCTATCCCCAGTGCTGAGTAAAGGGAAACATAACCCAGGGTCTCACTGTGTAGTTTAGGCTGGCCTTGAACGCACTATGTCACCCAAACTGGCCTTGAGCTTACAGCGATCCTCCTGCCTCAGCCTCCTGAGGGCTGAGATTACAGGCATGCACCACTCACCACATCTAACTAACACTGCTTCATTAAAGGAAATTCCAAGATATGTGTTTCAAGAAAAATATCCTAGAAAGAAGGTTTGAAACACAAGGGAAAATGTTGAGCAAAGAAATCAGATAATTTGTGAAAAATCTAAACACTAAAGACTGTTAATGAAAATCATGTTAATCTATGGGGCAAAAAGGTACAGTTGTCTGGTCTACAACACTGCATAGCATATAAGGTGAAATGGTTGTTTGGGAAGAGAATATTTTGCTAAATATATACTATATATATTTCTTTTGGGGGGGTTTAACCGAGGATCAAACTCATGACCTCAAGCTTGCCAGGCAGGCGCTTATGCCCCTGAGCTAAATCCCCATTCCCTAAGTATTAATATATTTAATATTTCAGAATAATCACCAAAAAGAAACAGAAATGGAATGTGGAAACTCACATCACTAGAGAAAAAAAATTAATGGAATAGTTAAAGAATTCAAAATAGAGGCAGAAAATGAGACAAAAAAGAAATTTTTAAAATTCTAGGCAACAAGGGCCGGGGGTTTAGCTCAGTGGCCTAAGTGCCTGCTTGGCAATACGATGTTGTGAGTTCGATCTCCAGTACCGGAAAAAAAAATCTGGGCATCATGGTGCACACCTGCAATCTCAGCTACTTAGGAGGCTGAGGCAGGAAGATCATACATTCAAGCTCAGCCTGGGCAATTCAGAAACAAACCGTTTCAAAATAAAAAATGAGGCAGGAGGTTCACCGTGAGTTTGAGGCGGGCCTGGGCTACCTAGCAAAACCTTGCCTAATAAAAATAAATAAGATGAAAAATGAAAAAGGTCTGGGGATGTAGCTCAGTGTGAAGGCCCAGTACCACACACACACACACACACACACACACACACACACACACACACACGTAAAAGAAAAAACAAAAAGAATTTAACAAAAAGACAAA